GCGCCCACTTGGTGGCACTTCATCGGCAGCCCCAGCAAATCGGTACAACACCTGCTTCTCCTTCCCTGGGGCCTCCTCGTCTCTGAGGCCCCACTACACTGGAGCCCTTCCCGGCAGCTCCTACCAGGCCATTCTCATTCCTCCATGACCTCACCCAGCCTGGTGTCTTAAAACAACCCCGATCCCAGCCCAGACCTCTCCCCCAAACCCTGGGCTCCATTAGTGCCCTCAGTGAGCCTTCCAAGGGGCACAGGCCCCTACACCTGTGCCCTTCCCCCACCTTCACATTTCTTAGACCCCCGTCCTGGTGGACGGCAACTCCATCCTTCCTCAGCCCAGCAATCTGAATCAGAGGCGCCTCCTCCTTCTCTGTCCCTCCCACATCCAATCCTTGCAGTCCTCACGGCCACAGATGGTGGCACTGCTCTGCCCGACCCCATGGCCCCACGTCCCACTCAGAGACAACCTGTCTGAGGGTCCACAGGGCTGACCCTGCTCTGCTCTGTCTCTGCTCCTCTCCCCACGCTTGCCCAGCCCCAGGGCCTTTGGCTGTCCCCTGTGGTCTTTGGTGGAATGGCACTTTCTCCGTGGGGTTTCCCCTGATGTCTCTTGAAGGGTGTCACCCCAGCCACTCCCTCTTCTGTTGTGCTTCACTCTCCTCCTCAGCACTTACTACCACCCGGCATACATTTACCCTCCGACTTTTTCTCCTCCTCCTCGCCCTATAAAGGTGAGGCCCAGCTCCATGCAGGGCGGGACTGTGTTCTGTTCCGTTCTCGGCTGTGTCTTCAGCACCAGGGACAGCGCCCGGGCTGTGGTACATGTTGAACAAATTAATGTATGAAAGAGTAAATTATTGTTCATAACAGACACATTTCTTTGCAGAATTAAAAAAAATACAGACAAGAAAAGGAAGCAAATTAAAAAATCAAAACCACCATGAATTAAGTCTGTTGTGTGTTTTTCCCTAGTCCTCAGAGCCAACTTTGGAGCAAGTATCACTTCTCCTTTTTAGGTTCAGACAGGGAAAGAAATTGACCAAAGCCACACAGCAGATAGAATCCAGGTGTGTCTGCTCCCAGTGTCCCTCCCCGGGACACAGGGCTGTTTCCTCCCACAGACACTGGAGCTGTGTTTGTTCATCACCTTTGCTTCCTTCTTAGCTAAATTTTACTCATGAACAAAGACAAGACGCTTCTCCTGGATTCTCAGTTGGTCCCTGGCCAGCCCCTGCCAAGCCTGCAACCAGCCTAGAGCCCCTGGGGGCTGCCTCTCCCACCTGCACCCAGGTGTTGGGGGCCACGACTCTCCTCCGCTCAGGGGGCCCCCACTCCCTGAGCCCAGTCCCACAGCATTCTGCTCTGGCCACTCACCCAGACAGTCTGAGCTACAAATGAAGATTCATTGGAGTGATGAACATTTTTATTAGACAAAATTAAATCCTGATACACATGATCTCGATCAAGCGCAGAGGAAAGGGGGAAAAAACCAACCCTGAGCACTGACTGTCATCAGAAGCATCTGCCTCTTAACAGCCTTTCCCAGAAACCCGGTTATTAGGTTTGCTTACAAATGAACCGTTTTAAACAAACAACACGGATTTTTCTGAATTTGCTGCAGAGCCAATTTATAATTGAATTAATGAAAGAAGTGGACCTGCTATTAAGTTTTATTAAATTCTATTTGCTTATATCTTTGCCACTTAAAACATGACTGTTGTTTAAAAAGAAAAAAACTCACAAAACACTGGGCAGCTGGGCAGAGTGGAAGGAGCAGAGGTCTGAAATCAAGCAGATCAGAGTGTGACTCCCGGGCTGCCTTGTGCAGCGTGTGCCTCGTTCCAGGTCACTTCACTCCTCGAGCCTCCAAGTCCCCATCTGAAAAATGGGTGCAGAAGTTCTCAGTGCTACTTGGGGTTATGTCAAGATTTAAGTGGTTGGAGAAAAGGGAACCTTCCTACACTGTTGGTAGGAATGTAGTTTGGTGCAGCCACTATGGAGAACAGTATGGAGATTCCTTAAAAAAACTAAAAATAGACTTGCCATATGATCCAGCAATCCCACTCCTGGGCATATATCCAGAGGGAACCTTAATTCAAAGAGATACATGCACCCCAATGTTCATAGTGGCACAATCTACAATAGCCAAGACATGGAAACAGCCTAAATGTCCATCGATAGATGACTGGATAAAGAAGGTGTGGTATATTTATATACACTGGAATACTACTCAGCCATAAAAATAATAAAATAATGCCATTTGCAGCAACATGAATGGACCTAGAGATTCTCATATTAAGTGAAGTCAGACAGAGAAAGACAAATAGCATATGATATCACTCATATATGGAATCTGAAAAAAAAAGAGGACACTAATGAACTCATCTACAAAACAGAAACAGACTCACAGACGTTGTAAACAACCTTATGGTTACTGGGGGGAAGGGAGTGGGAAGGGATAAATTTGGGAGTTTGAGATTTGCAAGTGTTAACCACTATATACAAAAATAGATAAAAAACCAAAATTCTTCTGTATAGCACAGGGAGCTATAGTCAATATCTTGTAATAACCATTAAGGAAAAAGAATATGAAAACGCATACATGTATATATATGCATGACTGGGACATTACACCGCACACAAGAAACTGAGTGCTCTGTGGCCATGTTTTATGAAGACGGCCCTTTGGTTCCATCTTGATTACAGTCGACAAACAGCCTCACGCCAAGAGAGTGTGGATGGCGATGGGTGGTCCTGGACTGACCCACTTCAGTTTCATTGCCCGTGGACCAAGCTCAGTGACCCTCATCCTGTTAACATCTCCATCCTCACAAGTCCTGGTGCCAGGACAGGACCCTGACGGACAGAGCAGGCTTTCAAAACACGGCAATTCACTGCCTCCCAAGAGATTGGGAGGTTTGTCAAGACAGTGAGAAGCAATTTTCTAGGTGTCAGGTTTTCCACGAGATGCTGTGTGGGCTGCCAACCAGCTGACTTTGACGGGGCTGGCGATTTGTTTAATGAGTGGTGACGTGAGTGAGTTTTAGAAGTTCAAGCCTGTAATATTTTCCATTTCACACCGCAGGCGATACACTTTGCCTGCTGACGGCCACTCCGTGTCGTAACTTCACTTGGGCAACTTCTGGATTCTTGCGGCCCAACCCTTGGCTAGCGGCTGGCTTTTACAGCCTCACTCGTTGCCAGTTTTTTGCCTCCATTGTGGTCTTAAATTTTGGAGACGATCTGGAATAGACAGAGGGCTCTCCTGGGACTGGGTTTGGAGCTGGTAGGATTCTCTGCCAAGAATGTTGAAACTGGGACACTTCAGAGCTCGCCCAGCAGCAGGAAGCGAGGAACTGGAGGAACGGGAGTTCAGGCTCCCCAGGGAAGGAGAAGCAGAGGAGGGGGCTTTGGGGGGTGTGCCCAGTGGGAGGGTGCTGGGGGAGCGGCACGTGCCGCTGGGCTTGGGACAGAGGGCAGGGAAGTGCAGAATTATTACGTCCACCTCAGGGCAGGGGACCCACTGATGCATCAGTAGTGTGTCCCCTCTGACCCCGAGGGAAGGTCAGAGCCCTCGGTCTCCCCAAAGACTAGGGGCCTGGCTGCTTCTGGAACCAAGCAAGACCCCATGGGGCCTTCCCAGGACAGCCCCCCCGCCCCACTGCTTCATGTCTTCCTTCTGCCTCTTGTTTGCAGAAAAATTTTAGCCTCCTAGGCCTTCCCCGAGTTCCAAAAAACACATTTCATCAGAGAAGTGAGAAAATGCAGAAACAAAGGAAAACAGTCAAGAAAGAAAAAATAATAATAGTTGAGCCATTAAACAAAGTCAGGGACCTTTAGTTCCCCTCAAGGACTAGAGATAATGTTCTGAGCCACGTCCTTGAGCTGTTGTGCAGATTCTGAAACCCCCGACAGGAGGAAGAAGTCAACTGTACGCCGCCCACAGGCACGGAGAGCCACCCAGGTTGGAACCACAAGGTTGATGGTGGCGACTCCCGATGACCTCACCACCAGCCCCTCAGAAGCACATTCATGGGCTGATCTCACACCCACAGCCCCTCCCTCACCCCGCCTTTAAAGGCCTTTCCCTGAGACCCGCTGGGGAGTCTGAGTCTTTGGGCACTAGCTCCCTGGTCTCCTCGTTTGACACCCGCAACAAACCACACTTTCCTTCACCACAACCCGGGGGCAGTAGACCGGCTTTCCTGCGTGTGGGCAAGGGGACCCGAGTCTGGTTCAGAACACTTTTCACCTCTTCCCGGGGCCCATCTTTGGGAAACCCCCCCCCCCACCAGTGGGATGTGAGATCCCTGGCACTGCTGGGACTGCTGGGACTGCTGGGAGGCAGGAGCAAGACGGCGGTGCCCAGGAGGCGTGGGGGTGGCCAGGCTCCCGGCCGGCCCTCTCTGAAGGACGGGCTGCCTGGATGCAGTGAGGTGGGAACAGGTGAGATCTCCAAGGCCCCCGGCTTGAAGCCCTGTTGTCTGGAAACCCTGCCAGGCTGCTTTCCAGGTTACTCTGTGAGGATGGGGAGAAGCTTGGAAGTCAGTCCTGCTGCCCACGACTTCTCCCCCGGGAGACCGCCGCGGGGGCTGGGGACCCTCTGCACGGGAAGAGCCGGGCGGGGTGGTTTTCGGAAGCCTAGCGTCCTGTCTTTGGTCCATTCCCATGGCCGGGGGGTGCACGCCTGCCCTGGGGCCCCTGCCTGATGCGCAGCTGAAGCCTTCCACCTCGGGGCAGGAGGCAGGAGGGAGAAGCTAGTTTTGGGTGCTGCCTGGCACTGGGCCTGATGAGGGAAAGGGACAGACGGAACGTCTGTCCAGTTTCTCTCTCAACGTCCTGCAATTTTAAGTGCGATCGTGAAGTACCTTCTTGTCCAGAGAGGGCATCTTGGAGGCCCCAGGACAGCCCTGGTTGGGGGTGTATTGCTTCTCAGCTCTGGCCCTGCAGCGTGAAAACCGCTGTGGACGATGCATAAACAGAGGGGCGTGGCTGTGTGCCAATAAAACTTTATTTATAAAAATAGGCAAGGGGCCGTGGGTCAACGTTCGCTGACCCCTGCCTCAGAGCAACACGAGAAGGCTCCTGGCCCTGGACGGTGGACCAGCTCCGGCTCCTGTGGACGAAGCATCAGTCTGTCTCATTTAACCCGCCCTTTATTGGACTGGCAGAGTCACGTTAGTCTCCCCACTGAAGCGCTGCCCAGGGGGTGTCTTTGGGGACCACTGCAGCTGCTGTAGCCCTGTCTCCCGTCACCAGCCAGGGAGAGGCCGCGCCCTGCTGTGTGTAGATGGAGGTGGTCACTGGGCAGCCCCGCCCAGGGTGGGAGAGCTTGGGCGGCCTCAGAGTTCATGGGGGGCTGTTTCTGCCTGGGGGATGGACGGGGGCTTCAGCACATGCAGAAGAGGTGGCTGGCGGGCGGCTGGACAGGAATACCATAGACAAGGCACGTGATCTGGAGCTGGAGTTGGCTGTCAGCCGCTGTGCTCAGGCAGAGCTGCGCTGGGGGCGTCTGCGCTCCTGGAGGGGCTGGCTGGTCCCAGCAGCCACTGCCTCCGGAGCGAAGGAAGGCCCCGATGGCAGCTGGGAGAGGTCTCGGCTGGAGGCGGCAGGGCCAGGGCTCTCTGGGTTCCAGCAGTGGCTGAGCAGGAGGGCCTCAGGGTATGCACTGGGGCAGGGGCGTGGGGCGAGCCCGGGGGTCAGTGCCGACCCGGCTTGATCCAGTTTCTGATCGTCCACTTCTGCCCCGAGCACCTCTGCACCACCAGCCGCAGCCCGAAGTTGGCATCCTTGGACATCTCCACCTCCAGGCACCGGCCCGTGTCTCTGCTCACAATGGGGCCACCCTGCGCAGGAGGGAAAGAGTCAGCCCAGGGGTCCTGTCCGAGGGCTTCCCACGGGGAGGGGCGATGACAAGTCCGTGTGGGTCACCACACAGCCACGTGGGACTCGGGGTCCCACCTCTCTCTGCCCCTCATCCCTCTGTCCCCCGCCCCTGAGCTCCGGGAATCTCTGTCCTCCACCCCTGTCCTCGGTGACCCTCTGTCCTCCACCCCTGTCCTCGGTGACCCTCTGTCCTCCACCCCTGTCCTCGGTGACCCTCTGTCCTCCACCCCTGTCCTCGGTGACCCTCTGTCCTCCACCCCTGTCCTCGGTGACCCTCTGTCCCTCCACCCCTGTCCTCGGTGACCCTCTGTCCCCCGCCCCTGTCCTCGGTGAC